GGCAGGCTGATTTTGCGCCCCCCAACGCCGTCGATAAGAGCATCTCGTGGTATCTCGCCGCTCAGAACGCCCAAAACACCACCCATGCCCATGATAAAATAAAGCCCAGGTATTGATCATAACCATACAAGAAAATGCCGCTGAAGTCGTTGCAAGAAAGGAAGTAACATGGACCGAACATGCGAGGAACCGCGAAATCAGTCCTATAGTACACTTTCGTAGAAGGCTGGTTGCAGAACAGAAACAAGTCGTCAGCGAATGACGCCCCAACTGTCCATACTGCTAAGACCCCCAGTGCGCTCCTTCTTCTTGAACGCATTCCAGAATCGCAGCGTCTCATCGCCAGCACCTGTGACGATGACCTGGCCGTCTGGACTCATGGCCAAGTAGAGGACACGGTAGGTATGGCCTGTCAACGAGACGACTTGTTGCATGCTTGGGTATTTCCAGACAATGATTTGGTTCTGACTGTAGCCATGTGTGGAGACAATTTCGTTGCTATTTTTCGACCATGCTAGGTTGCAAACTTGGCTTCCGGTGTCAAGACTGTTGATGAGATTGGCTGGTGCGGTGGGCGATAAGGGGATGTTTGCTGTTGACGCAGCTGAGGCAGCGGCGGAGGCGGATGCCAGGGCTGATGCTGATGGACCGTTGGAGTTGACGAGGGTATTCCAGAATTTGATGGTTCGATCTGCGGTACCACCACCACTAGCAAGGAGACCACGCTGGTGAGGGCTCCAAGCAATGGCCTTGACGGCAGCTTGGTGTTCACTCCACTTAAAAGTGGGCTCGGCGTTGAGTTTCTCCCACACCATGAGCTTGTTGTCGTTGCCTCCAGAGGCCAGTTGTCCATCTTCTTGGTTCCACTTGAGACCACAGACTTCTTGCTTGTGACCGACAAGCTTTCGAAGCCATTGCTCTGGTTGTCGGACGTCGCGATGGTAGATTGTGCGGTCTCTTGATCCAGAAGTGAGGATGTGTTCGTTCCATGCAAGGGCGCCGACCCTAGCAGTATGACCTGTCATAGTACGGAGACGTCGCTGAGTCTGTGCGTCCCAGATTTGTACTTGACCTCGATTCGTGCCAACTGCAATGTGTGATCCCTGAAAGACATTAGTATGGACGGTATAAAAAAATGGCGACACTTACACGCTGTATCCAGTTGACACTTGTGACGGAATCGTCTTGTAGTTCGCAAAGCTTGGTGACGCGGCCACTACTTGAGTTCCACATGTAGACACATGAGCCGAGGCCTACTCCAAGGGTGTTTTGGCTACCCCAGTCGACGAGGTTGAGGTAGAAGTCATCGGCGAGATCCGGTGCATCCAAAACCTTGTATGGCACCTTGGAGACGGCACGGGCTTGGCGTTGGGGACTGAGAAGCATGCGCTGGCTGCTGTATTTGATTGGTGATAGGCTGTATAGATCTGAGCGGGCGTTGAGATTAAGGATGCCGTGCCGACTTGAAGGCGTCCGTGATGGAGTTGGCTGGCCCGAGTATGAGAAAAGGTTTTTGTGCGGGGTTGACGGCGTCCCTGAAGGCGGCGGTAATGTAGCTGCAGTCCTGGCTGGGGGAGTGTGTGAGCGTCCTGCGCCTCGCATGTTGGCACTGTCGGTCGGAGACAAACTCTGGGGAAAGGCTTGAGGCACGGAGCCCTCAAACATCTCTTGGCGGAGTACGGCGGAGTATGTGCGGTTAGCCTCTTCAGCTGCAAAAGGTCAGTAGCTGTATATTAGGTGGCTGTGGGTGCTTACTCTTCTGGAAATGCAGCTCATGGTGTGGAGTACGCCTGGCCTTGGACGGCGTTGCGGGTGATGCCTCATCATGGAGGAGATTGAAGCTTGCCTGCAGATCTTGGCCTGCGCGATTTGGGATGAATCTGGAGACAAGTCAGTATGATGCTTTCGATGTGACTGAGTATGCCCATCTTACCTGTCGCCGTATATGCGCGGGCGCTTTCGGCTTGGGCTTGCTGTAGGCGTCCGCTCCCTAACTCGGCCAGCCTGCTCAATATGACCAAGTGCCTTGGTCAAAGCGGCCGCATCTATGGGTTCTGAGCTCCGATCGAGCGGGTTCGAGGGGAAGATCTGGTTACGCTTGTGGGAGGCGGTTGGAGGCGTCTTTGACTCGGGTGGTGATATCAACGTTGGGGTTGCAATATCGTCGTCGAGCTGCGCATTCGTAGCAACTGTCTTCCCCAAGTCGCCCGGCGGTGCGGAGAAGAATGCGCCGGGCTGTGCCTTGCTGTTGCTGCGTGTATGGACCATGGTACCAAAGAAAGTGATGTCGTCGTGGCGGGGTGTAGGCGATGACAGATGGCAGGTCGCAGTGTTATCCTAGGCGGCGGGACAATGGTCGCCTGAAACGAAGGTAAAGGTGAGAACAATGAGTTGAATGGCGCGGTGACGTCGAGTCGTGGTATTGTGATGATTGATAGCCCCTAAGTCGTTTGCCCTCCTCTTAACCAATGACAGGTCGTCGCGGCGCACAACAGTGCCAACAATAGATATGCCTTTTATTCAATTTCGGTGCGCATCGAGTCACGATAGTGGTGGGCAGGGTGGCCGTGGTGTTGATGGTGGGCGCGCAACGGGCGGGGTGGGCGGCGGTGACCTTGTTGTGGTTGCGGGTCGGAGCTTGTATGCTAGACAGCCGCAGGGTGCTGGGGGAGCAACGAGAGACAGGCGGGCGCGCACGTAGCGAGAGTGGATAGTAATGGGCCGGACGCGGGCCAGTTTAAGCTGAATACACGTGAAGGTGAAGTTGATGTTGCACTTATCGTCTAGATCAAGTCGCGAGTGAAGTGTGAGGAGTCGCCGCGACGCGCGAGGCAAGTGCCCGTCACGTCGTGGCTGCCATGTCGCCATGTTTTGATGTTCCCTTTCCTCTCGACGCGTTGGAGACGCCTCGTCCAATCAGCGCCGCGCATCGCCGCCGGGTGGAGCCTAGCGCTTGCTCCCGCCAGGCGCTCAACCGCCTCTCAATCGATACCCCACACCGCCCGCGCTCAGCTGGTAGACGTTGTGTCCAATCCTTAATGCTGCCATCATCCAAGCTGCGAATTACACTACTGCACTGCGCACCGACCTCACCCCTTGCTGTATCACATTCGACCTTCATCTCATCGCATATCCGGACCATGACGACCAAACCCTCTCTCAAAGCTGCCGAGGACTTCCTCTCCTTCGTCAATGCTTCGCCTACACGTATGTCGCATGCTGTCGTCATTCTGGTACATACTGACACCCAACAGCATTCCATGCTGTCAAGTCAGCAAAAGAAAGGTTAGAGAAGGCCGGCTTCAAGCAAATCAAGGTACGCATTCACTTCCATTCTTGTCAGTTTCGACAGTAATTAACTCCGACCAGGAGCGCGACTCGTGGGCACCCACCCTCCAGCCCGGAGGCAAGTACTACCTCACCCGTAACACATCCTCCATCGTCGCTTTCGCTATCGGCAACAAATGGAAGGCCGGCAACCCCATCGCCATGATTGGCGCCCATACCGACTCTCCATGCCTACGCATCAAGCCTGTGTCTAAGCGAACAGGCGACGGCTTTATTCAAGTAGCCTGTGAGACATACGGCGGTGGTCTCTGGCACACCTGGTTCGATCGCGACCTCAGTATCGCAGGTCGTGCCATGGTACGCACAAAGGATGGCAACATTGAGCAGCGCCTGGTCAAGGTCGAGAGGCCCATCTTGCGGATACCCACTCTAGCCATCCATTTGGACCGCCAGGAGAACTTCCAGTTCAACAAAGAGACACAGCTATTTCCTATTGCTGGCCTGGTCGCTGCAGAGTTGAATCGCCAGGGCAAGACCGAAGAGACCAAGGAGGATAGCAAGGACACAGAGACCGAGGGCCCACTCGCTGCCCCAACTGCAAGGCACCACCCGTACATCATCGACATCATCGCCGAGGAGGCCGGCGCTGAGCCAAGTGACATCGTAGACTTCGAGATGGTTCTGTACGATACACAGAAGTCGGTCATTGGTGGCCTGAACAATGAGCTCATTTTCTCTCCGCGACTGGACAACCTCATGATGACCTACTGCAGCGTCGAGGGTATCATCAAGAGTCTTTCTGCATCATCCGCATTAGAGAACGACTCGACCATCCGACTCATCGCATGCTTCGACCATGAAGAGATTGGCTCCCAGACTGCACAGGGAGCGGACTCAAACCTCTTGCCTGCTGTAATCCGCCGCCTGTCAGTGCTACCCGCCTCTGACAGCAACTCGGACAAGTCTTTTGAGAAGGTTGAAGCGGATACTGCTACCGCTTACGAGCAAACGCTGGCCACATCGTTCTTGATCTCCGCCGACATGGCCCACTCCGTGCACCCCAACTACCCGGCCAAGTACGAGTCCCAGCACAGGCCTGAGATGAACAAGGGCACTGTTATCAAGATCAATGCCAATGCCCGGTACGCCACTAACTCGCCAGGTATTGTCTTGCTTCAGGAGGCAGCCCGTCGCGCGAAAGCGGCGTCTTACAATCCAAAGTCGGCCAAAGAAGGTGTTCCGCTGCAGCTCTTTGTCGTCCGCAATGATTCTTCCTGTGGTAGCACCATCGGCCCCATGCTGTCAGCAGCGATGGGCGCTCGCACTCTTGATCTAGGTAACCCTCAGCTCAGCATGCACAGCATTCGCGAGACTGGCGGTGCGCATGATGTTGAACATGCCGTCAATCTGTTCGACAGCTTCTTCGAGAACTTTGAGGAACTTGAGAAGAAGATTATTGTGGATTGACTTGATCGCTCGAGATTATGATGAATTATCTAGTCGAATATAGTAGACGAATAATAACGGCATGAATGAATGAAAGATAGTGTGTCAAGCGCAACAATGAATCAGAGCGTCTGTGAGTAGGGTAGACCTGGACATTCTCGGTATGGTTCCGCTGCTGATCTCAGGGTCCACGCCAAGCACCCCACCAAAGTCGGCTTTCGAGTGTCTGTTCTCTGACGCGAACCGCTGTTTTGACAACTGACATCATGGCACCTCAATTTCTGTCTGGCGACAAAAACGCCATCGACGGATTCTTGGATAAATTCGATGTACGTCTCTAGAAAGGACTGCTGTTATGCATCGTACTCACAGGACGCTCTAGGTCTTCCTGTTCGACTGCGATGGTATGCGCCCACCTTTTCAACATGCGGCACGTCGGTTGCACTCGCAATCAAAGCAGCACCCGCATCGCATGTGAACATCTACTGATTGTGACCAAGGACAGGCGTCCTCTGGTCCGGCGATCACCTATTTGAAAAGGTCCCCGAGACCCTGGAGATGCTGAGGAGTAAAGGTAACATGTTCGCTCTCTACAAAAAGCGTACTTTATGCTGATCAGTTGCAGGCAAACAACTCGTTTTCGTCACCAACAACAGCACAAAGTCCCGAGCGGACTACAAGAAGAAGTTCGAAAAGCTCGGTATCCCCGCCGAGGTGGTACGTAACGCGGAACCCTATAGCATAACACCGGCTGACACGCCAACAGGAAGAAGTCTTTGGATCCTCTTACAGTGCCGCGGTATACATTGCCCGCATTCTCAAGCTCCCTGCGCCAAAGAATAAAGTCTTCGTCCTCGGCGAAAGCGGCGTGGAACAAGAACTCGATGCCGAAGGCGTCCCATACATCGGCGGCACAGACCCCGCCTACAACCGCGAATTCCGACAGCCAGAAGACTTCGAAGCTATCGCGAACGGCAGCCTGCTCGACCCTGATGTTGGCGTTGTGCTGAGTGGATTGGACTTCCACTCCAACTACCTCAAGACTGCAATCGCGTTCCAGTACCTTCAGCGTGGTGCCATATATCTCGCTACGAATATCGACTCTACGCTGCCAAATGCGCATACTTTGTTTCCAGGTGCTGGTGCTTCGGGCGCTTCGCTTGAGAGGGCTATTGGCAAATCGCCATTGTCTTTGGGGAAGCCGAGTCAAGCTATGATGGATGCCGTAGAGGGCAAATTTAAATTCGATCGTAGCAGGACCTGTATGGTTGGAGACAGGCTGAACACAGATATCCAGTTCGGCATCGATGGAAAGTTGGGCGGCACACTGGCTGTACTCACGGGTGTCAGTAAGAAAGAAGACTTTTTGGCCGAGGGTGCGACGACTGTTCCCACGGCTTATGTCAATGCGCTAGGTGATTTGCTGGGTTAGGGGGTGGTTTTCGCAGCTCAAGACTTAGGCGGAGTTGAGATTGCAAGGATATAGATAGGAATGGCATAGAACAGATAGAATTGACATAGATGATCGTGCAGCATACGGAAGCACACACCGTATCCATCCAGTATCATCCAATGGAAACTAAGTGGAGCGCTCTGCGGCAGCGAGACGCTAATCATCCTGGCAGAACGGATGCGAACGAGCCTCTACATCAACGACTTTTCCGTCCATGCTACCCCAGACTTCCCCCTCCGTCATGGGTAGCATCTGAGGTAAGACAAAGGCCGCGGTAAACCAGCCTCGAATGGGTATCCCGCGGGAACTTGCCCACAGATTCCGACACTGCAATTAGCCGGCAAATGACCCGAACGTCGGTGGTTACGCCGCTCAACTTGGAGAGCAGTTGCCGACAGCCCCACCATAAGAGAGGACATCGGAATATCGGAAATGCAACCGGAACGACGAGGGGAAGTTGCATCATCGCCCATATCACGTTGCTCTCTTCCTTTACTCTTCTCACCCTAAGCCTGCCACCTTGGAATAACCCTCATCTTGGAATATCTCCAGACCAACACAATCATGGCACCGGATCTATCCCAAAACAAGGCCGTCAAGCTCGTCGCCCACGCCGCCGCAAACAAATACGCAATCTGCGCAACATGCTGCTACAACGTTGAAGGCATCCTCGCATCTGTCCGCGCAGCAGAGGCCAAACGCGCCCCTCTAATCATTCAACTTTTCCCCTGGGCAATCACATACGCAGATGGCATCCTGCTCCACGCTGCCCGCGAAGCCGCTGACAACGCCAGCGTGCCTGTAGCCCTCCACATGGACCACGCCCAAACCCCAGAGATTGTGAAGAAAGCCGCAAACTTCGAGAAAGGTTTCGACGGCATCATGGTCGACATGAGTCATTTTGACGATAACCTTGAGAAGACGGCGGAGCTAGTCAGGTATTGTAACGAGAGGGGAATTATCACGGAAGCAGAGCCGGGGAGAATTGATGGAGGAGAGGATGGTGTGGGAGATTTGAGTGAGATGGGCCTTGAGGCTATCCTCACCACTCCGGAGCAAGCTGAGGAATTCGTCGCAACGGGGATTAATTGGCTGGCTCCTGCTTTTGGAAACGTACACGGGAAATACGGGCCCAAGGGTCCTCAACTGGATTATCCGCGGTTGCGCAATGTGCATGCCAAGGTGGGGGATCGAGTTGCATTGGTGTTACATGGAGCAGGCAAGGAATGGTTCCAGGAGAAGCTACTCAAGGAGTGCATCGAGTGTGGTGTTGCCAAAGTGAACATCAACGACGCGTTCAACAATGATTTCATCGACATCATGAAGGAGCAGGCTGGTCTTACGCCGCTGACGGGGTTGATTGAGAAGGCGACGGATGCTATGCAGAAGAGTATTGAGAATTATATCGAGTGGATGGGTGGACAAGGCATGGCGGACAAGATTCAGCTGTGAAAGCAGAACTTGTGCATGGGGCTGGGGATATGTAACATCAGTCAAGGCATCGCTTCAAGTTGCTTGTAATAGATTCTTAGCATATCGAGTTGCGGTGTACAGGACAATTATGCGGCAAGCTGTTTGTTACGGCCGAATACTAACGGTTTTGCGACGGCCCGAATGGCTTCATGGCTAGTCTTGCGAACATACATAGTAGTATACAGATTTTGGTCATCGTACAACGATTACTGATCGAAGTAGTTTACCCCTGGGTCCAAGCGCTTCGGCTTGTTGAGCTAGCTGCCGACTAGTAAACTAGGCATCAAGAAAAGTCACCGTAGATAAGTAGTTCTAGGTGCCAATTTCAAAGATGGACAACGAGTTGTAGATTTCTTACAGTCATTGACACCACCGATCCAGATTATACCTCATCAGACGTGAACATCATGTCTTCCAACTACTCCTTCCACGCCATACCCATATACTGGGTCATTGCTCTGTACCCGCACATGTACTCTGTACGCTTCCCTTTTCGTCTCCCTTCTCTAGTAATTTCCTGTTCTACCACTGACCATCGATGTTCCCTAGCAAATGATCTTCAAGAAGGGTGCAAACGGCCAGCTCGACAACGCCAACCCTCGTGGCGCCTCCACACTAGAATTCTACCGCAAGTGCTGTTCCGGTCCTCTGTACACAAAAGCCGAGCGTGCGGAAGCATGTCACAAGAATAACATGGAGAATGCGCCGTTCTTCATCGGAGCGATATTGGCGGGCAATCTGGCGGGGTTGGATTCGGGTATGTTTCACTCTCATGGTTGTTCATCGATCAATGACGACAAACGACAAGACATCGATGATATATCTAGATCTGAAGAGGTAGAAGCTAACCAGGATATCATAGCGACGATGAATACTCTAGCAGGAGCCTATATCGGTCTTCGCCTCGTGTACAGTTTCATGTACGTCAAGATTCAGACGAATACGCCGAGTTACTTGAGGAGCGTTACGTGGACTGCGAGCGTAGCAGTCTTGATGACCATGTTCGTGAAGGCGGGGAACAAGATGAACTCGGCTTTGGGGCTGTGAGAAGTTTGAGTTTAGAAAAGGTTGTCGAGAGAAGCTGCAAAGGAACGCACACAAAATGCTTGAAACTTGTTATACCAGGGTCGGATACGTAATTGCAATATCTCAATTAGAAGAAACATAGCCACCCTTTGTAAAATGAATGTTTCAAAGAATGATGACACCCTCCACATCTTCACCTTCCACGCCCCCTCCTCTCTCTCGCCAACCTATCTTCAAATTCGAAAGTTCACTGCGGCCAAGCACACAAACCCCCACAATCACTCCCACTATTCAGCGGATCACAGTCATCTCTCGGATCATCAACACAAACCTGACCCGGTATATCGCACTCGAATCCTGCAAACCCACCACACAGCTTCTCTCCAACGCAGATACCCAGCTGGTCACAGGCGGGACCGCAAGAACCCGCTTTGAATGGATCGGTAATGCAGACCTGGCCCGCAGGACAGTCGAGGACTTGGCTTGCACGACCACCGCCACAGATTTGGTTCGTGGGGGTAGCCTGGTGGGGAGTAATGGGCGAAGGAAGGGGCACCGGGGTGATGGGTACGGGAAGCGGGACGGGTGTGGCCGTGATGGTCAAGAAGGTGGAGCTAGGGTAAGGTGGACAGACCTGACATATCTGTTAGTCTGTTGTCATCACTACAAAAGCGAGAATAAAATTCATACCTGGAGAACGGGTTTCTTGCCACCACACAGCTCGCGACATCTTTTCTTGGCAGCATTTTGACAGTAGCAAGATTCAGGCCAAGACGAGATGCAATTTACTAGGGGACATTCGCAAGTTGGGGGAGGTGAGGCTGGGACAGGTACGGGCTGTGGGTCTGCCACACGCGCTTCGACCGAAGGAGGATTGAGAGGCGGGCATTGCGTTGGAAACGGTGGCGCGGGACCGCCGCACTTGTCGGAGCATGCTTTTGCTGCGTTGTAGTCGCAGTAGCAAGAATCGGGCCACACCTGGGGGCAAAAACGGGGACCAGGTGCGCAGACGCAAGCCTGGGCTTCTGGCTCGGGTACAGGCTCTGGTGCTGGAGCACGAGCGATCATATCGTCGACAGCAGTGCAGCTCTGGTAGACTGGCTCTAAACCACCGCATTTCTCATAACATGCCTTGTCGGCATCGTTGCGGCAATAACAGCTCTCCAGCCATGACTGGATGCATACAACGTCTTCGCATACACAAGTATCTGCCGGTGGCTCCGGTAAAGGGAGCGGCTCGGGTACAGGCTCTGGAGCACGAGTCTCGACGTCAGGAAGACTGCAATCCTGATACATCGGTTCTGCGCCACCACACTTCTCGAAACAAGCTCTCGTCGCGTTGTTGCGGCAGTAGCAGCCCTCTGGGAAAGAAAGGACGCATATAACCTCTTCGCACACACAAGTCTCTTCCTGCGGTGCCGGAAGTGGGACTGGAGCTGGAGCTGGGACTGGCTCGGGTTCTAGAGCTCGAACGTCCAATTCATCGATGGGAAGAGTGCATTCCTGATAGGTTGGCTCTTCTCCACCGCACTTCTCGAAGCACGCTTGTGTAGCGTTGTTGCGACAGTAGCAGCCTTCGGGAAAGGAAAGAACGCAGAAGACTTCTTCACAAACGCATGCCGTAGGAGCGGGCTCTGGTGTGCTGACTGTCGATACTGGAAGGCGAGGGCAGTGCTGCCATGGTTATGAGCTATTTGGTTCATATGTGTTCGATTTTGGCTTACCAGGATGCGCGGAGTGTATTTAGGGCATCTGGCCTTGCACGCGTATTCACGCTCGTTGAGGCACTTACATGATTCCTGGACGGTCTCAGCAATGACAAGACGGCCAGAAAGAAATGTTAGATACATACCAGTGCACCAATAGCAGCCGAGCAATCCGGTGGTGGGCACGTTGCTACACAACTATTAGGCTGCAAGTCTCGCGCCAGCCCAAGAGCGCAGCCAAGAAGAGGGAGAAAGGCGAAGAAGAGCTTCATCTTTGACAGCAAGATTACCGATGAGAAGTAGAGATGTGTTGATGTTGTAGTATGCCCGAATGTTCGTCTAATGAGGTCCAAGTCGGCCCTGATATATACTAGGAAACCACGTGGGAAGCCCTGGACCGGAAACTTAATCTGACAAGAGTTCCAACATGCTACTCATCTTACAACCTTTGGCCAAGAAAAGCCCCTCAGACGTGCCAGAGTGCTCGAAGAGAACCAGACTGCGCCTCCCGAAGCCACCAAACTTTGCGGTCTGGCGAACACGAGTTGCCAGCTGCACACCAGATTGCTTGGCGGATATTTGGTAACGTGCGCCTTCTGGTATATGATGATGATGCATTTCTCGGATGGGGAAGTACCACCCAGGAACACATGAGACAGCCAACAGTGTAGTCAGACGGGGCAATGAGAACATTGGTTTATGATCCGGATGTTGTTTTGCGGTGTATGAGAGCTTTTCTCAAGACCAGTAATAATGCGAAAAGCGACAACATCATACCAGGGTTCGTGCCAGACAAGCTTTTCAGGTAGCACAAATCGTGCCGTCTATTGCGTAACATAGATCATCGTGAACTGACTTTCGTATCCAAGCACCTCCGCATGTTGTACTGCAAGCCAGTTGTCATTTGTTTCCCGTTGTGTCCAACGGGACGTAGATTGAACGGAGACTCTTGCGGCTGAGAGACACGACAGCTTCGTTTGTGTATATTACGCGCTACAAACCCAGACCGGGTAATAAGTCGAGGGTTCCCGGGTTTTCAATCTCTCAGCCGGGATGTCGTACGCCTACCCGCTCATTTTACCTTGTCTCGGGGTGATCTGACGTGGCCTGGCAGCGAATTAGATTTGTGAAGTCTGCTGATGGTGAGAAGTTCGTAGCATTTGACGCATTGGGTCGGGCGTGTCCTGAAGCCCACTTGCGGGGAACCAGTTGAGCGAACAAATGTGGTGAAGGCGACGAACCGGTGCGTGAGTATAGACGGTATGGAGCTGCGGAATGACTTACGCGGAACGCTGACGCCAAGACACTAGGCCATTGTCCTTGCCAACCAGGTCATTGGATCCGAAGCCGGACCTCCCGTAAGATGTGAGACCACGGCCGTTTTCACTGACAGGCCTGTACCAAGTCTGGGCACATTAAATCTGTCCAGATGCAGCTGGATGCTCTGACCACGAGTAGACAGTCAACATCAAGTGCTTTTAGAACACTGCATTTACCTATAATGGTTTCCACACACCACACATCGAAGCACAAGTCCAATAAGATCGCGAACACGCTTGGGCAACAGTGAGACGTCAAGGAAACATACTGCTTGCTACAGCAGGTTCCAGCATCTGTGAAAAGGAGTGACGGTTTGATTGAGTAGGGTGCGCAAAGACTGTCTACCGTTATGCCAATTAGTTGATCAATAGGCCATTAGCTGACGTATAATCAAATCCAAATGCAACGCCGTTGTGCTTCCCAAAGGGTATATCCCATCTATGCATCCAAAATTCATCATGTTAAAACGTAACTCATGAGTAGTGAAATCACCGATTGCGGTCCACATCTTCAGGCGGAGAGCGTCGCTGTAGGCCGGTGTTCGATCGAACGGCATCAACTCCACGCCATACTACTGTAGAAACTGAAGAAGCTAGCTCCCGCAACGAGGTCCCGCCTTCTGCTGCTCGTGGAATCTCTCCTGAAGCGCGCCTAGAAGTGGCTGCGGACCAACCAGGCTCGACGTCGTCATCAACCAAGGATGGATCCGAGGGTGCAGATCTGGACATTGGCACAGGTCGTGATGCAGAAGGTGACTCGTTGCGAGTCTCAGCTGCTTCAGTTTGTACGTCTTCTTCGCTAATGGAGAGTCGAGGTGAGCGTGTTGGTGACGCTGACTGTAGCCGATCATGCCAACTGCGACTCAGAGAGCGTACAACATCGCCTTTACAGATGGGGCATGTTCGCCGACGCGTGACGAGCCAGGGTGTGCTACTCACGTCAGATTGGAAGTGTCGAAAGCTGGGAGATGGATACTTACATGCAATCCGCATGGAACTCGTGACCACACGGGAGGCTCATGACTTGACTTACTCCGTCGACGTATTCCTCTAAACAGACGACGCATTCTCTTTGGCGGCCACCGTAGCGTCGTCTCCACGCTGCCAGACCTGATTCTCTCTTCTCTTCCTCACGGTCACGAGACGCGTGCTGTACAGATGTTGAAGTGGCCGGTGTCTCTGATACCGTAGTTGAGCGCGACCGAGGTTCTGGTGATCTTGACCGAGTGGATGAGTGCTGAAGTAAGGGTGTGGTTGGGGATGCTGCGCTAGGCGTAGCCGAAGACGATGAATCGCTGATGGTCTGATAAGTTCTGACCGGCAGGCGTTCCACAACAGACTTGGGCGCTCTCCAACGGCGACGTCGAATGCGAGATCGGAGAAGGAGGAGGGCGTATACGACAGTCAGTGTGACCAATGGACTGACAACGAGTACGAGTAAAGTATCGAAGAAAGGACTGCTTGAAACGTTCGTGGGCGTAAGCGTGACCCATAGGCCTTGGTGATAACTAGTCGCGGGGGATGTCTTGATAATGCCAGAATTTGCGTCAATTATCGAGGTAATGCTTCTGGTGTGCGCGCGCCTGGACGATGCTGACGATACCGTGTCGTGCCTAGAGCCTGACCACCAGGTCCAGAGCTTCTTCCCACCAGTCTTCGCGTTTGCTGGGGTATATTCGCCACTACCGGGCAAGGCATTACTATCAGTTTTGGTATTCAACGGGGTTGCGCTAGCTGCTGTGAGTGCCTCGCTCGTCGATGCAGAAAGAGGCAAAAGGTCAGGGTCCCGCCAGTCGTGTTCTCCGATGATAAAGTCGTCCGTAACTCTGGTGGGTGTAGGCGTAGAAGCTGTCGATTTGGTCTTGATAGGCTTTTGGTCGTCTTCCCAGTCGGTGACTTCGACCCATTCAAGATCGCCGCTATTCGGTAGTCTCCGACTGCCAGCTTTCGGGGAACTATCGCTTGTCCCGAGACCAAATACAGACAGGAGCGAGTGCAGCCAACCAGCATTCTCACCAGTTGTAGTCTTCTTGCCAGACGTCGATGGGTGCTGCTTTCCTCGGGCCGCTGTTGGTATAGTTCGTAGCGCTCCGGAAGGTATCGGGCGGCTTTCGGCAGTCTTGTCAGATGCTTGTACAGAACTCGAGAGCATTCCATCGGCCGAGAGGAGCGAAGACAAAAGATGCGCGGTTGTGTGTGAAGTAAATAGGGATGGAATCGTGATATTAGAGGTATCTCCTTTGGCGTACATTCGAACGAGGGCACCGCCGCGCACGTCGTCACCCACTATAACAGCTGCACCGCCACGTGATTGTGCCCACTGCACTTTAGCCAGAAATCCACAGCCTCCTCGCTTGAGGAGGACAACCTTGCCAGCGATTTCTGCACTCTCCTGAAGTGACTGGATATCGGCATGCTTGGATCCTGACGTCACGCGCGTGCCAGAGAGGCCTGATTGCAGGTGATCGTCTGTGCCATCGTCTGCAGTAGCAGTCTTAGTGTTGTCGTCCTTGGCTCCACGGTTCTCTTCTTCTGAAGGCAAGTCTCTGTCCGGCATGGCACTCTTTACTTTATCCTTGACATGACCAAGTGACCGTGAAGCGCTCACAAGGTCATCGCTGCCGTCTGGCCAACCCGGGACGTCGCTGCATCCTAACTCGCCCCCAGCACCTGATGTATCATCTCCAAAGCCACTACCGATCCATAGCGGGCCACTCAAGCCCTCTTTGGGTAGTGCCGGGCCAAACGCGGCAGGCCTTGCAAGGAAAAAAGTCGAGTTATCGTCGGTCAAACTGATGATGGCAGAGGGCGGAAACAAGGAGCTGGGCGACGTGAAGGAAAACAAGGCTTTGAAACTGCCCTGGTTCGATGCAACAGATGCTCGCTCCTGGGCTTCATCCTGTGATTTGCCTACTATCATATATAGAAGCAGCGTAACGGCTAATAGGGTCGTGGATAGCGACAGCAGCAGACGGAGTGGACGCATGCTTGCGGAAGCAGCCGGCGGCGGGAGAGGTGGAAAGCGACAAAAGCAGCAGAATGTGCTGGATATCTAGGAGAGTTGAGGCATCGACTGAGGTCAGGAGACAGACGCGACGTGGTCCCGTTTGAGGTGGGTCACGCGGGGCGGATCGAGAGTGAAGGGTAGGAAGCAATGGATGATGCGGTAATAACACACCCGCAGGTGGGCAGGTCGTCACTACTGGTGTGGCGCGAGGCGATAAATGGCGCACATGTGCACGAGGGCTTGTCGCAATAAGGGCAGATAGGCAGGAAACGGGCTGAGAAAAAAGAAGTGGACAAGGACGTGACTGGGAGTGAAAGACTGCAGGTGGCCGGAGCCCGATGATGTCGTGATGGTTCCGGGACCCTGGTGGAAACGCGCGTGATGGACGCCAAGCATGCTGCTCCCCGCAATCGACTATGCTGGAAGCGTCAGCGACACCAAAACATCGCGTCAGCCTTATCGTGTCTTCCATATTAGCAGACGAAGCTGGATCTGTGTACCAGAAGACGACAACATCACGGACGGGGTAAAAATGCCAACGCGTCTGTGACACGCATATGGCTGCTGCGGCGCGTATCTCTTCAACGATGAAGATAAAGGTGCAATAGCCTTAGCATGACCGTCTATAGAGAGCAAGAGGTTTAGAAAGCCATTGCACAGACAAAAGGCGTCGAGGTGAGGTTGCTGGACATGTCCGCTCTAACAGACACTCACTTCTGGTCACTTCTTCCTCGTCAACATCCCCGCGTCGCTCTTGACTTTTGCATTCCTGAGAACTCAGCATCGACTGGCAAGCACGTCCGTCGACCCTCGACGTGCCTTCGACTTTTGCCCCTTCCCTTTCCTATCGTGCCATTATGCTGCTCCCGTCTTCTCCCTCGCTCGTCCAACTTTCGACTTTACACCTCTCATCCCTTCAGCTCCTCATACACCTAGTCCTACCATCAGCTTTCAAACTTCCCTACAGCCCTTTTCCTAGTTGCTACATCCCTAAGCTTTACCTGCTCGGCTGCCAATCTCAGCCCGCGTCTCTCTCACCTACCTGATCTATCAAATATCCCGTATCGTACGTGTTCCGCTTCAGTCCCTCACAAATACGAGCTTACACTGGTATCCTTCAGTGGCACTCATGAACCACCAGCGCCCCTCGGAGAGCTTCATGGTCTTGTCAGGCATGAAGCCCAGGTACACAGAAGACCCCAACCGCCCCGGAGAATCACGCCTAGCTGGTTTCGCATGGCTACCCAACAGGGCTCGCCACCTCTTCATCTCTTTCCTGGGGGAATTAGTCGGCACCTTCCTCTTTCTTTTCTTCGCCTTCGCAGCTACACAGGTCGCCAACAATCTTCGAGGTACCCGATCCATGGACGTTGGATCATTGTTGTACATCTCGTTGGCGTTCGGCTTCTCCTTGGCAGTCACTGTCTGGGTCTTCTTCCGCATCAGTGGAGGCTTGTTCAACCCTGCTGTATGTACCATCAGGCGAGTCAATTTGGAAGCGACCGCTAACATGACCGAGGTCACCGTCGCCATGGGTCTTGTTGGAGCACTTGGCTGGATGAAGGTTTTGCTGCTGATCGTTGCGCAATTACTCGGTGCCATCGCTGCCGCCGCTGTTGTGTCCGGACTGTTTCCAGGACCACTATCCGTGAACACTACCCTCAGCCGTGAAACATCTATCACGCGAGGCTTGTTCATTGAGATGTTTTTGACCTTTATGCTGCTCCTTACCATTTTCATGTTGGCGGCAGAGAAGCACAAAGCAACCTTCATTGCCCCAATCGGCATTGGACTAGCATTGTTTATTGCTGAGCTCGCTGGTATGCGCCTGCCGACTCTGCCAGAAATACCCCAAGGCTGAAACAAATAGGTGTTTACTTCACGGGAGGCTCCTTGAACCCAGCTCGTTCTTTCGGACCTGCCGTTGTTACCGGCGTATGGCCTGGACACCACTGGATCTACTGGTTGGGTCCCCTCCTCGGCGCCATCCTCGCAGTCATCTTTTACCGCTTGATGAAGATGCTCGAGTACGAGACTGCCAACCCCGGTGCAGACCACGATGGCCGTGAAGCATACCATGAGCATGGAGTTGGCAGGAGCTCTACTCAATATGAGGTCTCAGGTGGTGAGTTTTCAGCGTTTCCATTAGGGCAAGGCTGAACACTCTACAGCCCGCCATGCGACTGACGGGGCAGACGAGCGTGAACAAGTAAGGAAGTTGCGGTCCAACGTCATGCCACCAGCTATGGTTCAGCGTCAACAGATGCCATCCCTGGACACAATGTCGACATCTACAGGCTTCATCGAGAAGCCCGCGGCACCGATGCCGGCACACTTACAGATGTTCGACGGCCACCGATCCGACACTGTCAATCATCCCGACGACCGCCCACGTGCCCACCACAAGCGCGGCTCGTCGCGATACGAGATGTCATCCGAGTCCAGCTACCGCAATGGCCCGAGTGCGGAGTCAGGCAGCTCAGAGTCTTAGACCGGCTCATCAACCAGCTCGAGCTCGCGGTCTCGCCGTTCGCCAAGCGCATAGGATGACAAGTCGTCGAAGAAGGGTATCTTCGACGGCATATTCTACTGGCCTTGCTGCTTCTTGCCACACTTTATCCTCCAGGTCTGTTTCTGTCCTCACGCGTAAACAGCCGCTGGTGCTTATCGCTGTGTTGGGTGTTTGATGAAACAGGATGGGTATCGCGGTGGTTCGCTACATAGGGCATCTCTTCTGTTCACCTATGGTTTAATACATCAATTTTCAACGCAGATCGAGGGTCTACACTTGAAACGCAGTTCCATTACCCACGGATCCTCTAGCAGGGTCCATGGTTGAGCTCACGCTACGCCCGTTAGAAAGGTCTCTTGACATCCATTAATGGTGTCGGGATCATTTACACAGATACCTACCTTGAGCCGATCTGATGGAAAGCTTCATGCTACGTCGACTATGAGTTGGATCCCAGATGCCGTCCTCTCAGCTTCAGTCGGTTGGGCAGAGTACGCACTCGTCCTTCGAAGGGGCTACTAAAGCACTTCTACACGCCATAATGTCTCTGGAAGATCTTCATGAGTGTTGTATGACGCAACCTCGCCAGTTCTATTGTTCCCAGCTAGTCAATTCATGGCAATGTGCAAACTGCAATGTCGACGTGGATGCGCAAGTCCCTTCGAATGACGGCTCCCACTCACTATGATCGTGACTACAATTGGATGTTGCAAATGTTGTTACGCCCCTCTTTCCAATGAATTTAGTGGAGGGGTAATTGACAAAGCGTTCTTCTTTCGCCAACTGAGGAGAGATGGTAGAAGATGGTCTACTTCTCCACTCGCAGTAAATGTGGCGATGATGAGGCTCAGGACTTTGCGATTTGCCAAAGTCCTAGCAGCCCAGTCCTTCCTTCGTCTTCACCCATCACGTCTTTACGTAACATGCAAAAACATGAGAAACTCTTTCATTGTGTCGCTATCCACTTTAGTATACACAGTCCATTCCACCTGGTATACCACTCCACCGTCGCTCGCCTCCATCGAGAGGAAAATCGTCGTTTCGTCGTCGCGAATGGGTGCGGGCGCGGGTGCGCGGTATGTTCGAGACACCGACCAGTTTATTGAATCAGAGATGCCGTCAAAGCGTCCGTTATGTAACAAGGTGTGTGTGCCGGACGCGGAAGTCATGCAACCACATCCACATCTACCAGCGAACCACTTGAGCCTCCCGAAAGAGGAGAGTTCAAAGGCGGATGTGGAGAGCCGCTCAGCTGATACACGCTAGGCTTTCATCATCTAGTCGTTCTGTTAGTATGCGCGCGACAGTCAAAATAGCGTCGCAAGGTGGCTTACATGTTATAAACTGGAGGGATAGCGAGAGGAAGTGGGTGTGGGTGCTGGAAAGCTTTTGAAGCTTCTGCAGCGTGGTCTGAGCGGACGCTACTCCGTTCTGGGCATGGTCTTGATCGTGGCTTGGCACGTCTTTGAGACATGGCTGCCAGCTTCTCATGGACGTCTGAGACATTGTCACGATTGTCAGGGTTTGGTTCATCATTGCGACTTACTATGAGTCTTTTGCGCGCTTCGCGGCACGTAGTGACTCGGGAGAGTAGCATTCGCAGCTCCTACGCAGAAATTTCCAAACTTCGTCGCACATCTCATCACGGGGCCACGCCAAAGTGTGTACGGTCATCCTTAGGACATGCATACCGGAACTTCGCAAGCTCACATCATTCTACGCCCGATGATCATCTGAAGAAAACTCTCGACGAATTTAAGGCTACCAGTGGGTTTGCAGCACCTTTGCAGAGCCAAGCGCTTACCAGATTGCAGTCCGTCCATCCTCCTGGGATTCACTGAACTCAGTATGGGCAAATGCACAGCACGTACACTACCCTCCTGGGGAACAGGTTGAACTCGTTGGCTACATCAGTACAAGACGGGATGTCAGCCAGAAGCTCTCCTTCACCATGCTCCGAAATAAAAACCAAACATTGGTTATCCAACTTGTCTCAGGGGAAGGGGACGGTAAATCCAGTGGAACAGATGCACATGCCTGTTTGAGATCGTTGAAAGAATGGACTCCTGTTCTTGTAAGAGGAACGCTCAGGGAGCGTCCACCAGCCAGGCAACAGTTAATCGACGGCATCAAGTTGATCGGGGCTCGCGAGATTGCTGTGGAGCACGTGCAGTCCCTCAACGACATATCAGAAGACATCATCATCAAGGATGACACAGTGTTTGGTCCAGATCAACGGCATCTGCAGCTTCGCACAGACAGAGAATTGCGCGAGGATATCTTGACGCGGGCGAAAGCCATGACGCGGGCAAGATTGCACCTTAACTCGGAGCAATGGAGGGAGATTGAGACGCCCATACTTTTCAAGTCGACACCTGAGGGTGCAAGAGAGTTCCTCGTACCAACACGACAGAAGGGCCTAGCATACGCATTACCACAAAGTCCACAGCAATATAAGCAAATCTTAATGGCCTCCGGCATCACGAAATACTATCAATTTGCGCGGTGTTTTCGAGACGAGGACTTGAGAGCTGATAGGCAGCCAGAATTCACTCAGGTCAGTACCATGCCCTGCACTACCAAGCCGTCACTAATCGTGGACCAGCTCGATATGGAGATGTCCTTCGCTAACGAGGAAGATGTCATGAACGAAACTGAGGATCTTCTCAGAGAACTCTGGTACAAAGTTCTGAAGCCTTTTGAAAAGTTACCGGCAAAATTTCAGCGAATGAAATATCAGACTGCGATGGCTCACTACGGATCTGATAAACCGGATCTACGCTACAAATCAAAGGTATGTTAAGATACCGTAACATGATCACTGTTTTCGACTAACGGCGTGTAGATACATACCATCACTGAACATCTGACACCAGATTTGATAGGAAAAATCACCTCGCTACAGGATCCGGCAGTCGATGCCATCAAGATTTCGATATCTGAGGATCCCAAGGTTACCCGCAAATTCGTTTCCAGCTTCCTCGACAGTCCAGATGGGAAGATATATCTGGACAATCCGGACGGCCAACCAGGTATCTTCATCGGGGATCTGTCGCGGCCCATGCAAGGTCTCGGACCTTTAGGCCGCCAGTACGAGATGGAAGGTCCCGAATCTCTGAAGCCAGAGAACGGGGACCTTCTCATTCTCCAAGCGCGTCCCAATGTGCCATTCTCTGGTGGCTCAACCATGCTGGGAAACTTGCGTCTTGCTCTCCACAAGGCAGCTATAGCGCAAGGCCTAATGGAGGCGCCGGCGAAAGACGACTTCAAATTTGTCTGGATCACGGACTTCCCACTATTTACACCATCGAGTGACAGCGAACCAGGGCAAGGCGGCTCAGCAGGCTTCTCATCGACCCACCACCCTTTCACTGCCCCAAAGCTACCCGAAGACGTTGACAAGCTACTCACAGATCCTTCTTCCGCGATAGCAGCGCACTACGACATTGTCCTCAACGGCGTCGAACTTGGTGGCGGTAGTCGCCGTATTCACTCCGCCGCCATGCAAGAGTTCATCTTCAAGGACATTCTCAAGATGAAGCCTGAGCGTGTGGAGGACTTCAGACATCTGCTCGACGTATTGAGGAGCGGATGTCCACCCCATGCAGGTATTGCGCTGGGGTGGGATAGGTTAATGGCCGTCATGTGTGGACGGGAGAGTGTGAGGGACGTCATTGCTTTCCCGAAAAGTGGGCGAGGTGAGGATCTGTTGGTCAAGAGCCCGAATCGGATGACCGATGAGCAGTTGGCTACGTATCATCTGAATTTGAGAGACTAGGTCGAGAGGTGGACTTGTCAAATGTACGATAAAGATGTTGAATATGTATTAGTACTGGCAGGTGCATGAGCCATATGCCGATTTGGTTATAAAGTTCATCACTCTATCTGTGCCGCTCCGTGTACGAATTGTGGAGCCTCGGCAATCTTCGCTGTAAGGCATCCCAAGAATGAGTAAGACAACAATAATGCTAGAGAATAAGTTGCAGTCGGGCGAGGAACACTGCAATACAGTCATACCTAAAACGAGTGTGATAGGCTGTCGATCCTGGGAACAGCTTACATTGGTTCGTTACACGAAAGGATCACTAGCGCTTACCTCGGGGTAAATGTCCCTCTACGGAAAGCTGAACAACAGTATTGATATTGAGATGCCCGTTTGATGTAAGAGCTAGGTATTCTTCTTTTGCACTACGGTTGATATCGTGCAATGCATGTAGGGCAAGGCTGAGGTGCCGGGACAATGGAGCTCGAATATGCAATGCAAGGCTTTTGGATATTAACCATGATGCGATATATAGCGACATGCACCCACTGTCAGCTGTCAGAGAAATATCTCCTAGTCCTGCGTGAGCCCATCGTCGCTCAATAGCCACCAGTCTTTTTTCCACTGCCAATATGGCACAGCTTGAGTTCCAGATACCTGAAGAATATGCGTCAAAAGTAACCCGAGTCGAGTCCAAAGACAAGCGCACCGATGCTGAGATCTTAAACACCTTAACGACACATACTCCTATCACTTCTGAGAAGAATATCTGGACCTACTGGCATGCCGGCGTCCAGAACATGCCCAAGTGGACACAACGCAACATCATCAACTGGGTGCGCCTCCATGGCCCCGAATGGACAGTCCGCGTGCTCGATACAGTACCAGACTCACCGAATCACGCGTTGACTTGGATCGCGACTGAAGATCTTCCGGAAGCATTCGTAAAGGGTACGATGACGGGTCCATACGTAGGGCCTCATAGCGCAGACTTTCTGCGTGGCGCAGCACTGTACATGTACGGCGGAGTATGGATGGATGTTGGATGTATTCTTTTCCGCCACCTCGATAGCGTGTGCTGGGCCCAGCTTTCAGACGACACGAGTCCGTTTAGTGTTGCTGCGCCACTGATATACGGACAATTTATTGCGAATCACATTGTGGCGTCTCGCAAAGGCGACGAGTTCATCAAGAATTGGTGCGTTGACTCACTGAT